TTGTAAGAAGCTTCCAGAGAGATAAACTCTGTGCACTATCATTGTAAAATTATCGTGCAGCTAACCCGTCTTTCCCTCCTTAATGAATTTACTTTTATTATTTTTAAAGATTACACACACATACACACACACACACTGTGTGTGTGTGTGTATGAATGAATGAAATAAATGTTGGAAACCGGAGAATTACATGGAATACAGTGTTATCCAGCCATCTTGTGAAAGTCTGGCCTCAATAAAGAAAGTGGACATTCACACACACAGTCTGTGTGTGTGTGTGTATGAATGAAATAAATGTTGGAAACCGGAGAATTACATGGAATACAGTGTTATCCAGCCATCTTGTGAAAGTCTGGCCTCAATAAAGAAAGTGGACATTGGCTGTATATATACAAATTAGGCTATACTTTGAAGGGCAAAAATGATTTCAAGGAGCACCTAAAATTCTCCCAAAGGTTTCAGAAATAACCAAACTGGTTTCATCCCCCTTTTAAATATAAAATCAACTTGTTACTCAAAACTGTCTTCATAATCAACCGTATTCCACTGGAGGTGGAAAAGTCGGAACTAGGAAGAAAATAGGAGAGAGACAAACCAAACTTGTATATTAACAAAGATGGAGATAATTGTATATCTGTGCAACTTTTTTTTGAACCTGGAACTAGATTTGGGGTTTGAGCCCCAGGGGCTGAGCTCCAAAAGTAGGTGGGGTCAGGCCCCAAATACTAATAATACACAGAGTTAGTTTAAATCAAATGCTGAATATTTGTGAATAAGCTTTTTACTGCTGCTAAAATATGAAACTTCTTTTCTTCAAAGGAATCATTCAGTAGAATTAACCGATCTAGTACGTTCTTCTTGGGCAGTTCCCAATTTTGAGAATGCTGGGATGTTTCTTTAATGGCCCCTATATTATGGAATAGTCTCCACCATCCCCCCACCACCCCGAGACCAGGTTGACACCCATCCTGACAACTCCCTGGAAACTGGTTAAAACTGAACTTTTCTGGGTAACCTTTGGAGGATCATGAAATTGGCATGGCTGGCTGGGGAATTCTGGAAGGTGAAGTCCACACATCTCCAAACCGCCAAGGTTGAGAAACACTGGTCTATGGTTACTAATGGTTCATTGTTTTGCAGTTTGTTTTATGAATTGTATATTTATGTTAATTTTTATGACTCTATAACATCAAATATATTGACTATGGTGATATATAAACCTAGCAATAAACGGATACGGTTGATCTCAGCAGCCCCTCACAAATGTGGAAGTGAGTTATAATATGCAAATAGAACAATGGGAAATTAGGCGGATGAAAAGGTTAAAATTTACACTGTGTTATAATTTGAAGGAGAATTTCTATAAAATGATGTATAGATGGTATTTGTCACCAGAAAGATTATCAAAAACATACAAAGGGGTTTCAAACATATAA